AATTATACAAATAAAAAAAAAAAAAAAAGGAAAAAGAGAGAGAGAGATAGAGAGAGAAGGTATACCTTATATTGATTGAGTTTGGTGTTTTGGATTCTTGTTCAGCTGTTGAAAAATTTCCAGGTTGGATTCTTGATTATTGTATTGAATTTTATAGTGTATTAGTTTGTAAAAGGGAGTGGTTGTTTTGTACTTGTTAATTTATTTTATCATTTGTTTGGTGTACAATCAATTATTTGTATATTTGTTATGCATATGGGTTGATTTGATGCTGTCTTTATTTTTTTCTTCATGTTTAAATCTCTTTAAAGATTTGTAGTCCCAAGTTCTGATTTTTTTTGGTGATTGTTATATAGAAAATTTTGGGGGCTTCAAGGTAATGTCATTTATTTCTGTTCATTTACCAAAATATAATTTAAATTGTAACAGTTGCTATGAAGACCTTAAATTCAAGACCCACTAAGAGCATCTCCAATGCTATGGTTTTTGAAAGGCAATAATTTCTAACACATGTCAATTGATGATTGTAATGTTAATCCACATAGGAATAATGTTAAAAAGACTAAAAATTTGAATCAAACTAGTATCTCCAATGCACTAATTTGATAAGAATTTATTTGTATAGGTGTACCAATTATAATAATTCATTGATACAAGAATAACAAAAAATTAAACCAAATATAAAGTGAATTAATGAGTCATCATGTTTAACATGGTGTTAGATATTAGAAAGTGAGTTCAACATTGTCAACATTAAATGCCATCCACATCATCATGAAAGAGCTAATGACAAGATGCATTGGAGAATAAATTAGTAATAAACTTTCAAAAGTTGATGATATGGATAATTTTTTGCAATGTCAAAAGTCACATTGGAGATGCTCTAAACTTTGAACAAAAACTTTTACAAGTCCTATTAATTGCTTACAATATTTTGAGGTATTAAACATTTTTCTCTATGTTCAGAAGAAAGAAGGTAAATAACATAAATAGANAAAAAAAAAAAAAAAAAAAAAAAAAAAAAAAAAAAAAAATGGTGTAGTCATAGGTAGGGGAGTTACTGCATTTGGTTCCCTCATCACTAATTCGCTCATTTAGTAGCTATTTTCAAGATAAATATTACTACCGGTTATTTTCAAGGTAGGGGAGTAGTATATGATACTGTATGTTTCTGTATATATATGATTGTGCATTAAATATGGATACCTAAATACTGCACAAAGGATAAAGCCTTAATGATTTAGATAATCAGTATACTACTCTAAATGGGCCATGCCAGACAGCCAGTAAAGTTCAAAACTGAAAGTATTTTGGTGTCAACATCAATCCAGCTTAAAATCGACAATACCTTTTTTCTCTTTAGTCTTTATATTTGTTGTCTTTGGTCCCCAGAGTCATGCTTTGTCTTGTAAATTCAACTTAATAATCACTGTGGGCCTCTTTAAGGTCTGGATATGGCTGTCAGCTGAGGTAGAATCTCATCCTCATTGCACTTTTTTCTGCAAGGAAAAGGAAATATATATATATATATATACTTGTATTACAATACACGGCGCCTGATTCGAGACTTTGGAATTTTGTTTTGTAATAATTTATTGTTTTTATCTCTCTTTTTTTTTCCCCCTCCTTTGAGGGAAAGGGTGTGTGTAGTGTACCCATGCCTTAAGAACATATTCTTTTGTTTGGTTTGTGTCGATTTGTAGTGGTTTCAAGAGAGAACTATTTAATCTCCTTCGTCTCGTCTTGTTCTTTTGTTGTACTTCTGCATTCACTCTTTATGTCCTAAAGACATGAATACATTTTATTGATGCTTTTGACTCTTGAGGGCAATTTTTGTGAAGATATGGAATATTGAAACTTTTAGAGGATGTTTGGATATAAAAAATTTTGGATTTATTTGGTTTTTTTGGTTTGGTTTGGTTAATTTTGAAAAAGGTGGTATGGTTAGTTGTTAGTGGGTATATTAAAATAATATTTAAAATAAAAATAATTGAAGTTGATTTGATATAAAAGTATGAGAGAGATGATTTGAAGTGATAGTTAGTTAAAATTATGTGAGTAGATGAATAGTGAATTAAGGTTGATGTGATGTGTAAGAATGATTGGTTGATATTATTTTATTATATTAATAATATTAATGATAGTTGGGTTGAGGTAAAAAAAATGGTTGAGTTAAAAATTTTTGGATTTTTTAGATAAATTTTGTATCCAAGCATCTTAGCACCAAACTTTTGACACTTGATAGGCATTGCAATGCCTATCAAATTCTGGTTTCGGTAATGAGCCCTTTGTGGCAACAATCGAACATTGGACCGTCACAAACTGCATCCATGACAGCAAACTCGGATATTCTAGAATAGTCGCTCGATCGAAAGACAAAATGACTGATAACCGGTTTATTGTCTTGTTTGCAAGATGTAACAAACAAGTTGCAAAGTATTATGAAAATCTCATAGTCGGGTTGAAAACCTGAAATAATTGATTTTACGTGAAATGTGTGTTCTTCGTCGAGGCTAAGGTGGTGTTCTTCCATATGTATCATTAAAATTCAGAAATAATGAAATTGCGTGCCATCATTCGTTGACCTTATATGTAATAGCTAAGTGGAAATCTAGGTCAACTCGGACAAAAAATATTGGAAATCCAAATAAATACGAAAATGAATAAGTTTGAAAAGGTTTAATTCATTTTACATTTTTCTAAATTTCAGCTTCATTTTCCCGGAATTTAGCTTTTTTTGTTCTTCCAAATTTTTCTTTGTGTTTTTGTTCCAATTCTCTTGTTCAAGTTAGTATAGTCTCGGCCACCTAAGAATTTTTAAGATCATATTTTTCTCTCTTAATAAAAATACTTATATTTATGTGTTAAAAATGTACATAGACATCTGTTTACAATGATTAAGCCAAACTAAAATCAGTTCTATCCATGAATAAACAAGATAGTTCACATTCAAATGTGTAATATAAATTTTTAAGAAATAATATGCAGATGATCTTCACTTTATATTTCAATCACAAATAGCTTATACGAGGAAAAGAAATTGTTAAATAAACCTGTCATAGTAAACTAATCATAGACATTAGCCAGATATTAATTAATTGATAAATAAATAAAATACCAATTTTAAAATAAAAGTAAAAGAAAAGGTCTCAAGAACGCTTTAAATTCTTTCTCAGCCCATTCACGTTACCGAAAAACCCCACTAAATCCTGCCTGTACGGCAGGTACGACCGCCGCTTCTCGCCGGCGTCCCGATTGTACGGCGGCCGAGGCGCCGGAATCACTTCACCGCCACCCGCCGGCGTTTCTCTAACCGCTTTCGTTTCGTCAGTCAAAACGACGATACTGCTCTTGCTCCCGTCGCTCTGGCTCCTCCTCACGAGATCCTTCACCTTGAACCTCCACCGCTTCGAATTCCCGCCGGCGGAGACGCTTTTCTTACCCAGACCGCCCTCCGCTGCTGCCCCCGGCTGCCAATCGCAATATGAATCGGTCGCTGTCGGCTCGTCGGCCTCAGATGACGAGGAGCTCGAGGACGCCGTCCGAATCGTCGTCCCCCTTTCCTCGATGAACAGATCCCTAAGCGGATGCCGAACCCTATACCGGCCCGAACCCGAACCCGAATTCCGGTCGCCATCACCAATTTCCGCTTCGCTCCGTGATTTCCCCTGTCGTCGGATTAACAGATCTGTGTCGAAAACAGGGTAAACGGGTCGGATCTTACCGTTTTGGAAGATCTCGTCGGCCGGAATCGGAGACGACGGCTCCGATTCCCTGTTCACGAACGCGAAATCGAAATCGATATACTCCTCGGGATCGCCGGAGTCCGTGTCGGCATTGCAGTTATCTGAAATATCTTCGCCTTGTTGATCGGCATGTGCTGGATTATCTCGTTTATTGGAGTAATAGTCGTCGTGTAACTCGCCGGAATCCAATTCTCCGACGACGCGGGCGGCGATTCCGGCGAGATTGGGATCGGAATAGGTGCTGAAGCTTGGGGAGAGCGGGATCAGAGGACCTGCCTGCATTTTTTCAGGAAGCCTTTGGCAATGGCGGAAAAAACCTCGAGTGTGTGTTTTTTGGGGGAGATTTTTAGGTGGCTTTAAAAGCCGGCGAACGGCGCCGGCGGAGGAAAATATGAGTAGTTGATCTATGTAAGTGTAGGCCCCGAATTTGTTGGCGTGGCAATTGCCTGGATTTTATAACCATTGGATAATAGACAGTTTTGGATTGGAGTCGTATTTGATAATTGATATAAATTGTTTTTAAGAAAATATTTACTTTTTCAATGAAATAAAACGCGTGAAATGAAATACTTTTGGGATTGAGTAATGGATTATTTTTTATATTGGGAATGAATATGTGAAAAAATATACTCATTCCTATTTTTATTATTTGTCATCCTAGCTTAATTGATCATTTGCTAAATAAATGTAGTTTTGGTTATTTTGTACATATTTTTCCATCATTACCCTCATCTAACTAATAAATACGCTACCTCTTTTCATATTCACTCTCCATCTTTTCTCAAAACATCAATTTCTATGCTCATTAATGAGAGTTATTATTGACAAAAAGAATATTCTTAATTATTGTGCAACTTCTCAAAACGACATTTATTAAAAATAGGAGGGAGTAAAAATTAAAATTGATCTTCAATAAAATAATAAATATAAATTATCAGTAATTAAAAATATGTGAATGGATATATCGTAATATTTGTCGAACAATTTAATGAAAAGGAAAAAAACAAAAATATATGCATATACATATATATATGTATTTAATTATAGTTGATAAAAAAATTATCTAGTGAGACAAATTGAAAATAGTTTTTTTTATTGGTATTTTTCGACCACCCACTTAAAGTAGATAGGAAAATCATTTTAAACGACAATTTTTCATGATTTACTTATTTTGGTTGACAGTACTTACATGATGAGATTATTACCATAAAATAAACAATTGCATAATACATGCCTGGTTAGTAAAATTTAATAGCATTTTCATCAGTAATATAATTTTTTACTATTTCAACTAGTATTAGTTTTGTAATTAATGTAATTTTAATTATATACTTACAATTATAATTTGTCACATACGATTCATATGCAGGCCAATGTACATAATGAGTGGATGCCGAAATACACCCTTTCTCATGTAACCAGTTGGGGTGTAAAAAATTAATTTATCAAAATTAAAGATAAAGCTCAATTTTATTTTGTTTTGGTCCTAAAGTTAAGATTGGACATATATTGTCAAAAAGAGATGGTTATGATTAGCAAGACTTGAAAATGTTTATTCTTTTGGAATTATTTATTATTTATTTATGATTCTTATTACGAAATAGTGTCTACGTAATACAAGATTGGACTTAAAAAATGTCATTCGTTTATGTCATTACTCATTATACATATCGTTTCATGCCATAGAATTCCATTGACATTAAAGTTTTCATTCAAATGTGAACTCATTTAAAAGTTCGAAGATGCTTCTTTGTTACATTAGTAATAACGTTAGCCAAATTGAATACAATCATTTGATACAAGCATCTAGTCAAATTAAAGTATAAAATCATTAATTAGGTATCAATTATCTGCTGACTGCTAGCAAAACATGTAAAATATAATTTATAAAAATAAATTAATTTGATTATATCACATTTTTTAAAGTAGATAATAAATAAAAAAAGTTATTAATTTTTTTAGAAATAATAAAAAGTAGATTTATAATAATTAACATATGATGAAACATGTATTCTAATAGTCCGTCCGCACATTATATATTTATAAT